TAGATGAAATTTAGAATCTGCCGATGAAATTCGATGTAGATTACGATAAAATTCTAGAAAATGGAATACTAAAAAAAACAAAAAAATTTTGAGGGGGGTGCCCAAAGAAAAAACTTTTTTTTTTCGCGAACTCCGATCGCAAAGTTTTTTTATTAGAAACTCATCATTTGGGCCCAATATCATCCTCCATAAGGTTCATCTGGGTCCCATGCTCTGAAGTTGAGATCCAGTATACCCCAAAATCAGGCTACGTGCCTGGTAACATAGTTCTGAATTAGTCACCTATCAGTCCATCTGAATCAAAATTTTTTCGATTAATGTACTACTACTATAGGATTTTGAATCATCATATCATTTTTGATGCACACATTTTGATTCGTCCATAAGACACTTGACATTTAAAACATTTACCTTCTCCAAATTCAGTAACCATTCCGTGATCATGGTACAATTATCATTTTTCAGACAAACTGTCAGTGACTGAAACAATTTCCTAATGTCTTTTGAAATAGTGACTCCAAATACAAAAATATTTAAAATACGACTTAGAAATCAATCTTAATATGCATTAGTATTATTCTATTTCATTTGCTGCCTTTCATATCTCTTTTAATCATTTTGCTTGTTGTTATATTAGATCTCCTTCTTGTTTATTTTTTTATTTCCTGTGTATGTAGCAACATAAACTTTTCTTTTTAGTTATTGTATCTATGTATAACATACTTTTCTCGAATTCTCAAAAACTTGATACCTTATTTATACTACTATAGCATGTTTACTCATGCTGAAATAAATAAATAAATAAATAGGCTATTATTTAGTCTGCAAATACCCACGTTAGCTAAAAACTTCAATGATTTCTTCATTTTTTCGATATAAAAAACCTGATAAATAGTATAAATTCACTCGTAATATCTCCATTTTATTCTAGAATAGATAACCGTATTCAGTTCTTAATAGTATGGAATGTCTCTCTCACTCTATTTCAACGTCTAACTTGACAAATTTTTCTATTTTAAAATCTGTGTACAAAATCTTTGACAATATAATTGTACAGATTAAATATCGTCAAATAACTTATTAATTCAATAGTTAATAGTAGCGTTTAATGTAAATAATGAACAAATTGTAGTTTGTCATGCAATCTTGTTAAGAACATTAGTTGTAAAGTAATTAATTGATCAATTCGACGATCACACACTAGCTCTAGTATCAACATTAATTGTATAAACTAATATCTTACTCTCATTGGACTGAATTTTAACTACAAAAATATGGGTAATAAATCATTTAGACTAGTAATTATTGGAGAATTTTCAATTTGATGTAATTTAATTAATTCATTTTTTTCTTGTTCATTTTTTGTAAGAATAATTGTTTTACAATTGGCATTTTTTGCAGCTAAATAATCCAATTCATAATCATCTCCCACATGACACATTTGTTCATTTGTTTTACATTCACCTTTTAATGCTGCAAGATTAAATATATCTTTTTCTGGTTTATAATATCCACATGTTAATGGTGATAACACAAACGAAAATTGATTATATAAATTAAAACTTTGAAGTAATGGTATTAGACGTTCATCAAAATTCGATATAATTCCTAGACGATACGTTGTTTTCAGTTTATTAAGTACATCATCGGCAGAAGGATCTTTTAACCAAAAATGTGGTTCAGCAAATTTATCATAGAGTAAACGACTTAATTTTGTTTCAATATCATGTGATAAGTTGTAATCTTGAAATGACTGTTTAAAAATCAATGACCACCATTGTCGACTTGATATATTATGTCGAATACCATAGCCAGGATATTCATTGTTATATTGACGAAATGCTTGTACAAATCGTTGTTTGACTATTGATTCATCAGCGTTAATGTTAAGTTGTTCTTTGGCTATTTTACAATAATGATATGGTGCACCATTTTTCACTTTTAAAAGAACATTATGAACATCAAACGTTATTAAATGAACATTTTTCAATGACATATCTAAAAAATAAACATTTGTATTTAATGACTGTTGTTATGTTATGAGACATCTCTTCAATAGTAAAAATTTCATTTCAATAACAGATCGTTGAAATAAATTGACGAAATGAAACCGAATATAAAAGTCTAGTTAAATATCTCGAAAATAATAAAAAATCTACTTTTACATTTACAAAGTCAAAAAATACTATACCCAAAATAACCGTACAAAAATAGTAATAGTAAGCAAAAATCACATGTAAAACTAATAATCTATGCTTCAATCATTCTCTGAATCCTTCATTCATAAAATATACTGGTTTTTTTTTTCAGTCAAACGATTGTAAAATATTGTTCGTTTAAATAGCAACTGTTATACTTTACTCATCGACAAGAGTGTAAAATGCTCATCTACAAATTAATTATAACCCAAATATACGATATCATCATTTTTTCAATACCATATTTTGAATAATTCAATGCGATCAATGACGCCATCATCCGTTCCCACAAAAAATAGATACAGGTAATTTTGAATAACTTTTATTTAGAAAAAAAGAGATGGAGTTCTGCAGTTTTTACTAATCAATAGACCCGACCGTATATTTCTATGGGAAAATAATTTAAAAATCTTACGTAGGAATGAACTGTTGAAATGATCTTTGAAAGACTTTTTTTATATTTTGAAAAATTCAATTAAAAATACGTTTATTCTATCACATGAGTAGAGATGATTCTAATTGTCCTCTTCAAAATGAGAGTCAAGGTAGACTTTCATTTTTCACAATTTCAACATAATTCCCTGCAAAAAATGAAAAAAAAAATTGATTTACCTAGATCTTCAGTCATATCTGAAAAATCTCTTTGTAACTAAAATCAATTTTAATGTTTTTTTTGTAATAAACTGTTTCGATCATACCCTGAAGATTTTAGGTCATTTGGATTGATTTTCAGTCATTTATATTTATTTTCAAATACATACGATTCAGTTTTCTTTCCCTTATTTTACCATCGTTGTCGTCTAATAATCACAGTCAGGTGATTGTTGTTTTATATTTCGAACGATGAGCTTCTCATTTGTATCAAGTACTGATCATCTTTAAGATTGAGTGTTATTTAGTAAATTTTTTAAATAGTTATTTATCTTGTTAAAATAAATTCAATCCATTTCATTTAACATCTGTGTATGCTCTCTTGAAAGTAGGAATTGTATTAGTACAACGTCGAGTATTTTAAATAGATAAATAAACAAATTATTATTAAAAAGTTTAAGCCAATTATTGTTACGATCCATTTCCATTTTTGGATTGTTCACAAATAAATCGTGCACATATGGACAGAGTGATAGTTGTGTACGTGTCTCACTTAGACCCCGTTTTGGAAAGAAGTATCTATAAAATTAACTCAAATAACTGGGTTCTAACTGAAATATATTACAATACATGACTCTGTTGTCAGATTTATCTAGTAAAAAGTTAATGTAAATCATTCAGCACATGGTCTCACTAAACGATAATAAATCGTAGCTATTATTTCTTCTTTGTAAGTTAATTGTATCCTATTCAAAAAAAGCTCGTTGAATTATGTTATCTCTCATGCTGTTGTCCAAAATAAAAAACTTCTCTTAGTTGTTCTCTGAGAGTCAAGAAAATATCCTCAACTTTGCTGGAGTATAATTTGTATACAATTTGATGAAGTTTAAAATGATAAGTAAAATTGAATAGTTCGAATTTTTTTTATAAAACTCTCCGATTCAGGAGAGCTATAATTATCTCGCATGCGCATCAAGTCTGTTCTTGAATATTAAATAAAAAAGTTACAATTTAAACACTATTTTTTGTTTTCATACAAAAGAAAAAACGGTAAATCCGCATTAATTTAAATAACAAAGAAACAATCAAAAACATATTGTAAAGATCACCACAAAAAATATATGTTAGACGTATTTACAACAAAAAATTGTTTAAGCGAGAACTACAGGTGTCGATGATAGATTATCATGGATATTATCTTGTTGTTGCTCAGTTTTAGTTTCTAAGTCATTATTTGTATTTATTGTCTCAGATGCCACTGTGTCAGATGTAAATAAAGAAATTGCATTTTGAAAATCAAGATAATGTTCTTTGTTAATAAATTCATAGCGTTGTACTGGATCAATCTAAAATTAAACGTTTATAGAGTGAAACTAAAGATCAACACATAAAGATTTGAAAATTTAAGAAGATAATAAGCAATAGATTTCATTTAGTCGAATTAATAATTACATATTTAGTACATGATAATTCAATACTTACCGATTTCATAAACCATTTTTGCCGCATGTCAATAATATCTTTGGCACATGAACCGAATCTTCTATCAACAGATTTGACGAGCTGATCGGCTGATTTGATTTGTAATTGGCGCATAAAATGTATTAATGGAGAATTTGACAGAGGATCACTATTATCCGCTATAACATGGAAAAGATTCAGATAGACAGAGTGGAAGTGACTAAGGATACTCATTACTTTTATTTAATAATGATTCAGATTTGACACCTGTTGTTGTCGTCGGTGAAGATGATGATGTAGATAGTTTCTGTAAATTATTATTAATTATTTGCTTCTGATCATCTGTTAGTAAAGTACTGATAACACCATAACGTGATAAATATTCATTTGATTTAAATCGAGCTGCTCGAGATGTCACTTGACTATTTAATGGTATCCGTTTATCACGAGAGAGTGACGACCAGTCCATATTCAGATAAACTTCAATGGGTGCTACAATAAAAGAATTTTAATAAGCGTCCATCAATTGTAAAAACAGAGCTACAAACATGGCTTCAAGAGTAAAGGTTCATTTTCTTTCGATGTGGTTTCGTTTTGCGTGACGGCATTACCAACACTATGATTAGTATCCATATCTTGGTTTTCTTCATCTGTTATATTCTCATAACCTGTTGGACCTATTTAGAAAAAAATCGAGTTGAATAAAATTATTTGAAAACAATTTGTAGTAAGAAAAAATGAACCTTTTTCAGAGTCGCGTCGACGTGTTGATCGTCGACTAAAAACAATAGAAACAAATAAAAAAATGCAAAATTTGTCTTTAATTCATTCATACCCATCGTGAAAATCGCGTCGGTCACGCCAATTTTGACGATCACCACCTCGACGTTCCGTTGTTTTTCGGCTTAAATCTCTTGCATTCGCCCGATGACGACTATTCGTTCTAAAAAATAAATAAACATAACAGCTAAATGTCGTTCGAGATGAGTTTTGCACGAGTTTTTACCTATTAGGACGATTATCACTTGACTTTTTACTCGATCCACCTTAATAAAATACATGAACTATCAATAGCAATAATGGACTACATTTACACACTTACCATCATTTGTACGTCTTCGTTTCGCATCTCCTGAAGATGATTGTTCATTACGACGACCATCAGAATGCTTCTACAAATAAAAAAGCAGACACCTTTTAGAAAGACAACAAAATACGATTTATCGTACAATTGATGCGATTGTTGAGTAAGAAAAAAATCAGTCCAATATTATGAAAATGTTTATAAAACTTACACGTGATCGTTTTCTATTCGATTTTAGAAGATCTTGATTATTACCATCATCACTTTGAACATTATCTTCTCCATGACGTTTGGCAAATGTATCTGACGTCCTTGTTTGTGTATTCTCGTGATAATTTCGTGATGTTAGTTGTGATGGTGATGAACGATAGCCACGTGATCGCTGTTCATCATTTGTAACATGATCATCATAATAAGGTCGTTCTTGTCTGCTTGGTGAAATCAGTAAATTATAATTTATTTCGTTTGATGATAAACGCGCTTTATCATATTCATTTAAAATGAAACCACTTGCAGGATAATCAATCTCATGGTAAGATGGTGAACGACCATGACGATGATGATTATCATACGGCTGATTCAAATATTCATTATTATTATAATATGTTTCAATTGACTGTGATCGAAGATCATTGTAATTACCACGATTTGAACTAGAATCTAAAACAGAAAATAAATTTATTGGCATACTCTGAGTTAAAGTGTAAACTTTTACTAACGTCTATCACTTCTTTCATAACAATCATCACGTGCATAATCACTTCGAGTGTAATTTCTAAAAAATCAAATACATCCGATCTGTATTAATATTTCTAAATACTTTTCATCTAACGTACCGTCTATTGTTTCCATGAGTCTGCATTTGTGGCGATGCTTGTTGTTGATAATGTTGATGTTGTCTGTCATGATAATTTTCATCGGTGGGTGAATGTACAATTTGTTGTGACGATGGAGATGATATTCTATTTTCATTTTGCTGTTCACTTGTTGATGAACGTCGACGTGGATGTTTTCCTCCTCCAGTATCTGGCGAACGTGTTCGCCGTTCATCTTGTTGTTGTTTTGATGAATTCTTTTTTCTTTCTGAGGATAATTTTTTTCCTGCACGATTTTCATTATTATTATTATTCTGTTTATTACTTGTTTTCTTGGATGATTCATTACCACCACCTCGTTTTTGTCTATCAGATCGTTCATAAACTAAATCACTTTTCTTTTCATTATTACGACGAAACTGTTGTTGTCTTGTTTTCTCATCGTCTTCATCATCTTTCTTTTGTTTAGACTCATTCTGATCACCGTGATTATTTTTATCATACGAACTCGATCGCTGAGTATTTCGATCATTTTTACTTGAATGTTCTGGTGATAAATGCTGTTTTCTAACTGTTGTATTCGTAGTACTTTTTTTCGAGCTTACTGATTGATTATCAACGTCAACCAACCCAGTTTTTTGTTTATCGGATGATTGTTGATTATCAGCATCTTGAGGATTTTGCTGTTGTTTTGTGTCTTTTACACCTGACTTCGTAACCGGTTTAGATGAGAGTTTTGATTCTTGATTTTTATCTGATTTTTGTTGTTGTGTCGTTTTTGTCGTTCTGTGTTCATTCGACTAGAACAAAAAGAAAAACTAGTCATGTAAAATTGGGAATTCTACTGCGCAAGACCTCATTATTCACGCTTGCTACATGGAAAGATAAGACGAACTGCATCATATATTAAATTGTGACATACATTGAGCTACCTAAGCTTATGCGCATGCTTTTCCTTAACCTCTGCATTTGTTCATCCATTAGCAACATTTTTCTTCGAATAGGTAATGTACAAAACAAATCAGATTCGCGTTTTAGATTTTTTCTGTCCGCCATTATAAAAGAGCAAGATATACCATCTAAATACACGACATCCCACAATTCTCAGTTATTTTTACCTGTTCATCATATTTCTGTTTTGTGTTTCTATCAGTACCGCCCACTTTTACACTTGTTGATTTAGACGGTGAACGTCTTTGTTGTGATTGTCTATTATCTTTTGTTTGCTGTTGTTCACGTGTATTATCCTCATTTGGACGACGACGCTCATTTTCATTTTTAGACGTTTCATCAAATTTTTTCTTCTTCGAGGATGATTCTTTTTCTTCATCATTGGATTTGGATTGTTGTTGTTCTCTTGTTTTTTGTATTACAACAGTACGTTTTGTTTGTTTCGAAGATGAATTTGGTCGTTGATTTCGATCATTGAACTGCTTATTTGAAGATGACGATAGTTTATCCGGAGAAGATTTACGATTATGTTTTGATGAAGTGGGTGAAGGTGATTTCGTTATTTTTTTAGACGGAATATCCTTCTTTATGATCGACTGAGTTCGCTGATGGCTAACAGGCGAATTTTTTCGCGTTGTCGATTGTGATTTATCGAGCTCATCTTTTGTAGACGGTGATGATTTTTGATGTTTTTTACGTTTTTTCGATTTTTGAGATTGATCATCTAAATCGGAGGAAGATGTTACGGCAGAATCACTAAAATAGAAAGAAAATGATTAAAGCCAAAAAAGAAAATTATACTGTTGATTAATTTACCTCTCAATTGATGAATTTCGATTACGTGACTTTTTTTTATTTTGATGGTAAGATTTCTTCTTTTTATCTTTTCCTTTTTTACTTGAACTTCGTTGGAATGATGGTCGTTTATCATCATTTGCGATACTACTCTTCGAGTTGCTATTAGCTGGTAATGATGACTTCTCATTTTTAGTATTCTTTTCAATACCACTACTCGAAGAACGACTTTGCTCCTAAAAAAATACAAAAATAATAACATATGCAAGTGATTATCAACCTAAATACGTACTGTCTGTTTGATTCGGTCACTTCTATCCGTAGCTCGCTCTCGTTCTGAAAGAAAAAATTCAAATTAATCATCATTTACACTATTCAAAATTGTGTGTACCTAGAACATCATTAATCGTATTTTCAGTTTTACTCATATTATTTTCAAATCCCGTTCTTGATGACTGCAATGTACTTGCTGACGAAACAGACGATTGATTTCCGTCGGTTTTTGTTACGATTATTGTACTTTTCATTTTGTTTTCAGTTGGAGAAATATCAACGGCACGCGTAGTCGGCTAAAATAGTTTTATACATTAGACGTAATACAGTGGTAGAAGAACTAAACATACTTTAGTTTGTCGGATTTCTTCTTTCAATTGCGGTTGTTTATCAATACTTAAATAAAATTTGTTCTCACATATGACAAGTACTGAAGAAAAGTGATAATATTTACTTTGCATGAATAAATTTGCAATTATCACCACTTGCACAAACACCAGATTTCAAGTAGACACTACAAAAACCGTGTGTCTAAAAGAGAATTATACCAAACGACTATAAGTTAGCGGTGCAAAGCATTACGTTAAGCAGTGAAGGTTGGCTCAAATGGCATTTTTTTTTCAAAGCAGCCGTTTAGTTTGTTAGTCTCACAATCACCTGATTAATCGTCCATGCGAACTTACACTTTTGTTACTATTGACAACACCAATTCTTTCAAAGACACTTTTTTTTGTTTGACTACTCATATTGGACTGTGTATTTTACACTTTAAATCACATTATCGTTTTGTTTATCTAAAAAAGTAAAAAAGCAGATGGTACGAATAATAGTGAAGATTTCAATAGATCTGCTAAATGGGTGCTTCGTATATCTGTTTTTTGAAATCTCAGCCCTTGCATTTGAAGATATTCCACCTCAGATCGAATGAAACAATTTGCTCCCTTACCTATATCTGTAACAAAATAACAGACCTTTATCAAGTAACTCAATTGATAGGCAAAATAAGAGAAACAAATGTTAAGAACTGACTATTTATAAAGATGAAAAGTAGAACACATGATAAAGTGAAACATGCTCAACGACAAATGTACAAAAGACACATTTTCCAACAAATACAAACACAGTGTATTAGAAGTAGCGACGCAAGGAAATAAAATTGCGTTTCAAACCTAAAAGTAACTGTCTTTTTTAACTATAGCCAAATCTCGTCCAAGTTGATCCTGTTTGATTTTTAGTAATCATTTCTTCTAGCCATTTTTGTATTGCTTTAGTTTTATCATTACTCAATTTCTTCAAACTTTGTTGTTACATCCTACTCAAAATCGCCTGACTTGGGATTCTTATCCCTATTTTTATCTTCAACTATTATCTTATCTGGTTCGAGCACACGCGACCAGAATTCTTCTCCATTTTGATATACAGCTGAGAACGCTTGTCTAAAAGAAAGAATAAAAAGTATATCATACTTTACATTTTTCTTTGAGCCTAATTGACAGAGGTAGAACTGAATGAAAATCCAGTGTACTGTTTCTGATTGTTCACTTTTTTCCTCGTAATAATCTTGCTACAAGTATAAATTTAAAATATTCGCCGACTTTTGGTTGTATTAATAGATCAACATAATCATTTAGTTAGATGATTCGACGTAAACGATGTCCACTCTGAGCCATAATACTCTTTTCTATAAATGCAGCGAAGAATAATCTCTACCGTACCTTATAAAAAAAAGTTAAAACAGATGTTGGAAATTTTAACTTTTCCATATCACTTTAGTTTATCCGTCAATAACAATAACGTAGTATATAGATAGTAAACTTTCCATTATTTACGGAAAAATACTTAAGGTAAACAAGGTTAAAATATTTGCTTTAAACCTCCATTACACCAGCAAAAACATAAATGCATTATTGAAAACGTTACGTCAAATAATATATACGAATGTATGCAAATCTGTTACAAACGTTATCGAACGAACCAAAACTGATTCACAAAAACGTTCATAAAAGATAATGTGAAACAATATTATACCAAAACATTAAATACTGCATTTATAAAACCTTTATAACGTTTGTGACACATTTGCATATATTCGTACATTATTTAGCGTAAAAACTTTTAACCGTGCGAAGAAAATGAGCTACTTTCGTCGTCACATCACATAGTCCTTACGAGCGAGAAAACCAAACACAGTGCAAGCAAGCAAAGTAAAGCAAGCATAAAATGTGCCTGAGGTTCAGGCTATCATGTACATGAACACAATGTGATTGTATTAGTCAAAAGAAGAGGCCAATGGTGACAGAGCAATGAAAATTACACACTAGCGCATCCATTAATGGATGCGCTAGTGTATTCTATCAATAGAATTCTATTGATAGATCTGAACTGTCCTCTGTCGCAAAATATAACATTTAATCTACATACTCAGATGCAAACGTCGGTTACATACATATACGCGAGCTGCTTTTACAATTTAACAAAATTTTCCCAGATATATGGAAGCAAAGAAATGGGTTATGTTTTTACCACCGTTAGGTACTTCTTTACAGTTGCGCACAGATATACATGAGCTGAGAACTGGGAAGATGAGACTCTGTGGACTTTGTAGTAGTAGGGAATGGAAGTAAAAGCCCCCGTTTCCCCCGCAAAAAAAACGTGTGGAATATATAGTTTCTCGAGGAAGCCAAGTTTTGAAGTGATCTCTTATCGTTCAACTTTCTGGCCAATTTCTTCTGTAAACAAACACTTTGTATTGCTTCGTCTTAGTTTTAGTCAAACACACAAAGTCGATTTGTACTATTATCCGTATAAACGACAAACTCGAAAAAACGATGATGTTCACCAAAGTTAGATTTTTCGACTTGGGTTTTTAGTCAAAACGTTCAAACTATTTTTATCTAATTCAGCGTTGAAAACTGAATTAAAAACTATTATTAGATGTATTTCGGAGGTATAGGTTTGAAACGAATTTCAGACCATTTTCCTGTTCAGCTTTCATTGCTGAATCAGAAAAAACAAGTTTCAATATTCCATCTTCTAGCATAACATAAAACTCGATTGCAAAAAAGAGGAAAATTTTTTGATTTTTTACACTCTTCAGGTGTTTTTAATTTTTGGACTCGAAAAACAGATCCAAAAAAATAAAAATCACCTAGGTGTGATCGCCTCGATGTCCTCTATCCAACGGCGTATCATATGTTCGAAAATAAATTTCACTACAACTTTGCTTTCCATGCAGCTTAGAAAAAATGAGTTTTCTCAGCAATGAAACAAAGTCGAAAAAAACAGCATCAAAAACAAAAACGAGGTCAATTAATGCGGTGCGAAGCATACCGCATTATTGTAATAAACTGCGTGTTTACTTTCTAGGCTACAAAACTATCATTTTCTGTAACGATTTTCTCGTAAACTAGAAGGGCTACTGTAAAATTTTAAACAGGATCAGTGAGCTGTGAGACCGAATTAGTAAATGTCCTCTTTTGAGACTTTGTGGTTAGTCGAGGCATTAACTAGAAGGCTCGAAAGAAGGTGTTTTGAATGTTTGGGACTTTTAGTTCTTTCGAAAAAAACGGATAATTAATTTGAGTCATACTAGCATTTTTAAAGCAGAGTGTTGGCATATAGTGTGAGTCACTTTATGACCATGCTCTATATGTATTCAGCGAATAGCTAACGCAATGACTAGCGACTGGACGCCTTACTGTGATATAGATAATTAACGCAGTGTGTATGATAAAATCTCTAGGTTATGATAAAGGTTAGAGCATAGTTGCAAGAGAGAGCATAATTAATGGTAGAACGTTTGTTTAACATCAAGAAATTAATCAATTTCGATTTTCGCTTTCTCTTCGAGGTTATATTCCGAGGGAATTATATTACAAATACTAACTAAGCAAATGTAACTGCTGTATGTTATTAAACAAAATCTTCATCTCCGAACCTGCTTCGCAACGCATTTGCAACTCTTCGCTGGCGCGATTGCCGACTAGTTAAGCATATATACACACTTTCATCCATACTATTTGTTGAAAGTTCATTTTGCAAAGATAAGTATAGTTAGTGATGATCGAACAACAGAAGAAAATTGTATTTGTATAATACAAAATTATATTTGCAAAAACGGCTATTCTGCCAACACTAGAGAGAACATGAAGTAGATCATTCAGAGTTAAAAATGCAAATCGACTTGAGAACAAATGATTCAATAAAACGTGTATATGATTGATGGTTTTAATTTAATTCTAAAAGTTCAAATTTTTTGTGATAATCATTACATGGCAATCTTACGTATTATATAATTAACACATTCTTGTTGTCATGAATAGTGAGGTGATATACATATACTGGGGTATAAGGTTCAGCTAATTCAAAGTTTAAGCAGTATTTTTTTTGGACTTATTTATACACCATTAGGTAGAACTCGATGAGCTGATCATGAATATATAGTTTTCAAGTTTTCGAAACGTTTTTATTATGTCGAAAAATCAGGATGGATCATTTAGTGTTGTTTATTACTTTGATGATGAATGTTTAACTCAGACAATATGTGATGACATATCAAAATGTCAATATGGATAAGATAAATGTTGATGTCAAATAGGATCGGTGTCGTTCAATTATCGGGTGTATACCGAAATTAAATTATAAAAGGATAAGTAACCTTCATCTATGATTCACTCGAGCATTAACTGAAGAACTTGTTTAGGACGAATTGATAGACGTATTCGGTAAAAGTGACGGAGCCGGGTATGTGGTCTGCAAAGGGAAAAATCAGTATTGCGTAGGATCGAGTCCGGTGCGAATTGAACGACGCTAATTCGGTGGAACAGGTTAAGATTGGTTCTTTTAGAAACTACTACCCTAGAGAGTTTGAGGACGATTTTTTTGTACTATATTGCGACGTGGAATTCGTTTTGGTTCATCATTTATGTATTGTAAAAGAAAGCATAAAAATGACAAAAATAACAATGAAAATATAATTTAAGCGATTGTATGTGGTTGCAGCAAAATAATAAAGCTTGATCATTTTATTATTTATAATGTTCATTTTTTCCTTTTACTCTTTTTTTGTAGGTTTTCTTATTGATTTCAAGTGCCAAGCATAATGTTTACTTAAAACGCAAATAAACGACAACCCTTCTGGACAAAGTAATCTATTGAACATCTCTGTACGATTACAAAGAAATGAGCAGTTTGAAGAATTCATTCTAGGCCCAAGAGATCAAGACTTTTCTGCTCTACAAAACTTTCCATATTCGATGTTGACACATTGTTTAACTACTAGAATAATTAACGCATACTAAGGATAGGTAAAAAGCATAACCGCGAGAAGAACAGGTTATAGTTTTGTTTCATACTTGACCTAATTAGTTTCTATTAGCTATTCATCACTGGTGCTTTGTGTAAATAATTCTTCGATCCGTTTTCATTTGATTCGTTTCCATTTGATCCTCATCGAAAAACAAAATATTTACTGACATTTTACCATTCATAATCAATGATCGTAAAACAATCGATCATTTCTGTACCTAATTTTTGTTCGCATCCCGTCAGTCCGATCTCATAGCCGAACGGGATATATATCCCGTCCGGGCTATAATATATATCCTCTTCGGGATATAGTCCGATCAGTATATATTTTTATACCCCGAATGGTATATGGTATACTGAAGGCATATCAAGACACGGTCAGTCCTGTCTCATAGTCTGATCGAGATATAAAAGTATATCCCGATCAGACTGTTTTATAACGGGTTGGGCAGAAAAAGTGACGTCACTTTGAAATTCATCCTTTGGATAATCATGTCAACTCCCAAGCTTCGCTCTGAGCTTAAAAGACCCAGAATTTTCTCTAATTTCTAGTGCTGTGTTTAGATTAAGATGTACCCTAATCGTCTTTTCGCTGTACTCAAAAGATCGGAAGTCTCAAAAATCTCAACTGCTCATCACTTCACTAGAAAAAAAATGATTTATATCTTCATAAAAGTTTTGTTCGCGCGATTCAAACACGATACTACAAACTACAATAAATTCTTAATTGTTGAAACACAAAACGATATTTTTCGACAAAGTTTTGGAGCCGTAAAAACAGCATACAACACAATTGAGTCATTATTTGTGTTTGGCGCCATTCCCTCCAAAGGAAGATATCTCAACTCTGTCATCTCTTACCAAAACGATGCAACCCATAGAAAGAAGTGCATTTTGTAGAGCTTGAAATTCTGTATCTTTTGATATAAAAACAATAATTTTTATTAGTCAGGACTTTGAGGATGTCTCCAAAATAAAGTACCATCTTGTCGGTCAAAGATGTCTTTTTGCTGTTTTCCATTTTTATAAAACCATAACAAATAAGCGTATAAGAAACAACACGCAGCTATATACTACGAAAAATTCTGCGTCTTACCAAATTTTTGCAAAATACTTAAGGGGGAAAAATTACATTTTGAATTTTTCTGATTTTGCAGTTGAGCAGTTGAGATTTTCGTGGGTTCGAGTATTTTTACTGTTGTGAAACAACGGGACATGCTTATTTTTAAAATAACGTATGAATAAAATCTAGACACAATTCTCTATCTTTCTGACATAAAAATGAAATTTTCTGATCAAGTTTAACTTGAGGAAAAATTTTGCAAAATGGCATCATTTTCTCTGCTCAACCCGTTATATCCCCACTAGAATTTAAAAAATCGTGAACGGTAGACTTTTAAACCAAGATTAGTGCACCTTTGATTCCGAGTCAGTTTTTCATCCGCTTTCTTATGCTATATTCACTTTTCTGCAATAATGTCACGATTTTTGCGGTAATGATTTTTTCTAAAATGTTTTGCAAAAATCTCCCGATCAGGATACAAATTTTCTCTGATATCCCGTTCGGGATATAGGATATATTCCGAACAGGATATTGCTCGTGAGGCCGGACTGCTCGTACAGTTATTAAAATTCTTTTCCAGATATGAAGGACAAAATTTTCTGGTCTACAAAATCCAATATGTGATGCACTCACACCTCCTTCTTTGACTAGATTTTCCCTGCTTTTGTTCGATTTTGACGCCACTGAAAGGTGCCAATTTTTCGTGTCTACTAAGATTATTTGCAGTTTTGACGCCATATGCAATCAAAAAGATAGTTCCGAAATCGCTAAGCATTTCTGTATCTATATATAGATACAGGAATGTTTGCGAAGAAATGGATCGCTCCATTTTTACATTACTTCGAAAAAGATTACCCAAAAGCTGAAAAGTCACCAAAATTTCGACTGAGCATCGCAGTTTTACTTTTTGTCTGTTTTTACTCTGAGTTAGTTTTTTGGATAATGAAATACTCAGAGTTTCGGTTGATTTTATTTTAGTGTTTGAAAAACAAAAGTGTCCGTGTTATCTCATCCATCTTTTATGATTAGAACAGTAAAAGGCATGAACAATTGTAAATAAAAGGTATCACTCAATATCAATATCTTGGTTTCTATGTTTTATCTATTTGCAGTTTAATTTATCTGTGTAGGTGTGCTGAAAAGTGTACTAAATAATGGAAAAGTGTGGGCGCACTATTCTGAAAAGATTTGGAG